GTCTTAATTTATCTCAGTTTATGATGATGCCTGAAAGAATAAAAAAGCAAAACTAATGTTTTCTGTGCGATCCATCTGGAGTAAAAAGTTTAAAATGCAGCATGTGTTCAAGTGGGAATGAAAAAACTTTTTAAAACAGATTAACCGTATGAAATCACACATTCTTGTTCGAAACATGGACTACAGACAGGAGCAGTGTTAAAGCAATGCTCACCCTGGTGGTAGTGGCTGTGGTCTTTCCCAGGTTGTGGTTCTGGTGTTGTGGTCTACATAGTATGTTCTCCCATGTGGATCTTTTCTCTGCTCCCACCTGAAAAATATCAAGTTTAAACAAAAGTGAGTGAGGTTACTGTGACATCTGAATGACCTAGAGTGATTAAAACTGAGACATGAGGAAAAAAAAAAACATTTCCTGTGATGAAAACACATTTTGGGAAGCTAGCTTGTTGCTAACTCCAACAAAAACTGTGTTCTGAGTTGTTCATATTTACAGGACAAAGTTGCTGTTAAACCTTTTAGTGTGATAACAACAGTAAAGAGCAGAGTAACGTCAGTCAGCTGGTTTTACCCRGGAGGTAAAGGATCTGAGGCTGCAGCGTTGGGGGCTTGCTGTCTGGGTTTGACCCCGTCTGTTGTCACAGCTGCACTGCTACTGCTGCTGCTGTTACCMACGGCTCCTGCAGAGCTGGTTTCACCCGGAGCCGGAGAGGAAGAGGATGAAGGTGAAGATGCTGTGACGGYGGGGACCTCCGGGCCGGGAGAGGCAAATGTGGTGGAAGCAGCGGSAGCGGTGGCGGTGCCATTGGCGGGTTTAGCAGCGATGGAGGTGTCTGGAGACGGGGAGGAGGTTGGCAGGTGCTGGGACGTGCCAGCTGGAGCCGGTTCAGGGTCTGGTACGGCAGCAGACTGAGCGCAGTCCTCGTGGTCATCTGTAGGGGGCAGCACTTCACTTCTTGTTGCAGATGATTGCCTTAGAGCAGCCTCAGAGGACTCCCTGTTTGCTGCAGACAGATCAGAATAAAGAAGAGGATGCATTTTATCTCGTCTGTGTTCGATACAGAGATAGAGCTAAAAAACAGAAGATTAGAGAGGTGAGAGCCTCTGAGGTGGGAGACAACTTTTTATCTTTGGTTCCAGTACAGATTAAATCCKGATGGTGCTTCAGAAAACTTTTGTTTAACATGATTAAATCTTAATAAATTGCAGATAGATGCAGACTGATTAGAGAAACTAAAGATGATTTGTAGGAATCTCATGTATTTGATAGAGATCCTGATTCAGAGACCCCTCAATGCTCTAAATCAGTTCTGAGCCACTACAGCATAATGTAGCACAGGTCTRTATGTCAGTTTTGAATTATGGATTATGTCAAACCTGCTGGGAGTACTGATCAGAAGTCTAATACATTCAGCAGCCTAAGTACATGTATGCTTGTGTAGTAAAACAAATATTTTTGGTTGAGAGAATGATGACAAACTAAACGACMTCGTGYAAAAGTGAAGCCGTTTAATTTCTGCTAATGTAGTGCTCCATTACACTAATCTGACAAATGAGCAGGAGTTGTTTTATTCGCCTACAACAAAACATTGACCAGCCTCCTTTATTACTCCCTGCTCTGTTTGGTTTTATGGCTGATAAGGTACTAACTTTTGATAATCACTTTAAAAATGACCAAACGCTCTTCAATATAGGGTCAAATACTCCGTGCAGCTGCTCTCACTCACATTACTTTCAGCTCTTCATCTCACAAAGCAGAATAAATCTATAGTAGTGATTGAGATTCATGTCAACTTATTTTTTATTTCTGTAATGTTTCAAACTGAACACTATGTAGAAATGCAAAAACAGGCTTTTTTTACAAAGAACGGTAGAAACAAAGGTTTCAATTACTGCACTGCAGAGGCATTAATGTAAACATGGAAATGACTGAAGCAACTTCCAGTTATTAGTTGTAAAAATTTCTATCTATATCTTGGAGAAACTGAGAGATTAATTATTTGCAAATACATACTCATATTGGCAAATAATAAAATGACTCAGATTTTCTTTATTATGATGTATTTGATTGTAGYTTAATATCTGTAGTTTTGTATTTGGTCACGTTTGTGTGCTGCTGCCGTCTCCCGTAAAAAAACAGATTTTAAATCTCAATGAGATCTACCTGGTTAAATAAAAGTTTTAAATTAAAATAAATTAGATTATTAAAATGCTGAAACGGCATCATTTTGAGGACCCTAACATTTTTTAAAAGATTGAATCTTCTTTCAGCAGCTGCACAGTCTTCTTGATTCTGCCTCTCCTTTTTCTCTGAGTCTCTGGGTGTTTGGACAAAGGTGCTGACAGCAGCAGAGACTGCAGGCCTCACTTAATGAAAATTAATTTACTGCACTTCTTTACTGCTCWCTATGAGTCTGTGAACCATGAAGAACATAAACTTAAAGAACCCCGACACCATCCCTGGAAACACAAAGAGTATCTGCAGGAAAACATTTCCTGAGGCTGAGGCAGAGTTCATGCAAGTGCACCATATACAGTACAAAAGACTTCATATATCCACTGAACGCCCTACAATACAGAGGAGAATTAGGCCACAAATGAAAGAAGAAAAGTCTTTAAAAGGCCACACACCCACTGGGTTTTAAATAAGGTTAATGTTGGATCGATGAGAAGAAACTCACTGGTTCTGCTCTCTGTGTCACCGTCTGAGGGTTGGTGGACCGGKGTGCAGTTGGGTGTTGCGTCTCCATTCATGGCGTGATCAAGAGCAGGGCTGCAGGAGCTGGAGGGAACCTGACCGTCGGCACCGCTGGACGCCGAGCAGGAGCCTGACCTCTGACCCAAGTCTGTTCCATTCACTGTGCTGGAAGAGCAAACAAAGGTGTGGCTTTGTATCGGCCATTTGGTATCAAACTACTGAGATATTCTGAGATATTCTTCACTTTTGCCTCTGAGTTCTTAAGGAACATCTCTCCAGGTGTTTTTCTAGAACAGAACTTTACATTTTTCAATAGAACTTTATATTTTCAGTCTTTAGGAGCGCAGTTACCTGCTACTTGAGACAAAAAAACAAACAATTTAGCAACATTTGTTGAGTTGCATTTGCAAAAAATGTTAAACACAGTTTGTCAGGCTTTTTAAAAGATCAGTGGTGAATCAAACCCCTTCTGTTGAGACGATTATTTACAGTGGATGTAATATGATAGGTGTGATGCAATGAACGCACATAAAGTTGTCGTTGTATTTTTTATTTGTTGTAATCCAGAGTTTGATCTGAGCCAAACACAAAAACATTCAGACTTCATCAAAAAGAAAAAGGAGAGGATCTGTTCAGCCGCACATCTTTTAAATAACACAAACTCAACAAGGGTAAAAACTTACAACTAAAATCACTTCTTCTGTTCAACTCAGAATAAACAAGAGGTAAAGATTTGTGRGTTTGGGTCTCTGCATTGAGGCAGTCATTCAGTAACTATGTGATTGAATTCAGTGGAGATAAAGATGCTGTAAAAGTTTGATCATCAGGTTTTATTATTCAGACACATTAAAAAGTGTGGACAGTCATTTTTGAACCTGGCTGCTTTTTATTGATTTTTACGAGTTTTATCCAGAGCTTTATTCTGAACGATTCACTGCTGACAACATCAATGTTTACAGCTAATGAAAGCATCTCTTCAGCTTTTGTTTCCAATTCGGCTGTGAGTTGGAGTAAAGAGAGTGTGGGAAAAGGAGCTTTCTCATTCTTATGTTTCTTCAGAAAGACAAGAAACAAACAAGGTTTTAAGTCTTAAAATAATGAAGCTCTTTATGTTTTTATGTTGTTTTTCATAATAATAATTAGAATAATTTGTAGCTGGAGTTTATGATCTATATTTTAAGCCGTGTTTTCTTTGTGAGCAGAGAAAAATTGCTAAATAACAAGGACAMAATGTTGCACAAAGAGGAATAAAACGTCAGCTAAAAATAACAAGGACTAAATGTTCAGCTGGAGTTGCATGTTTCTGGCCGGGACATTCGCAGTGATGTGGTTACAGCTGGAAAAAGAGCTGAGTGAAGTGGGTCTGCAGGTCCCACCAACCTGACAAGAACCAACAATCCACAACTGTTTATCTGTAAACTCCATACATATTTAATATATACAATTTGATCATGCGGATAAAAAAAAATCACTAGTTCAGTTCTACATGAGCCCACTTGATGAATACAACTGATGAACTGAATAATGTCTCATTCTATTCAGCTGCTGCTTTTGTTACACATCACCTTTGTTTGTTTGCCAATCTTAACAACTGTTTCAGCCAAATCCAACTGTGGTTTGATTTCATCCCATTACCCATATTAAATATTGTCAAGTATTTCACAAGTGAACCAAGTTGTTTTATTTTGAAAACTGATAAGTGGTTAAGTTGCAACACTTTCCTCAATATATACTTGGAACTAAACTTAGCTCTAGTTGGTTTTGGACCACAGAAGACGTTTTTGGATTGTACAGCCCAGCCCCAGACGGTCCGGCCTTATTCAACCCTGGCCCTGGTCGTGTTTGCTTTGAGAAGAGAGCCGCCTCGATGTGGACAGGATCATATTATTAAACACCCACAATCTTATTTTGTGTTATTTGAGACACAACAATAATGGACGACATCAAACTCAAAGGAAAAGTACCGTAGACTGTACCGGACCATCCAGCAGTACAGCACTGAAGATGAGAGGCCAGGATGATGGAGAGCAGTAAGCTAACGGTAGCTAATGTTAGCTTGTTGTTGTTTGGTAACGCGCTAATGCTGTGTTGTTAAACTCATGAAAAAAAAAAACGTGGCAGTCACTGCAAATGATTCACGTAAAGTTCCTCTCATCTGTGTGATGTAAACACTCCCTTCCCCCAATGCTGCACAAATGCAGGTGCAAAACGGCAAGAAATATAAAGAAAATAAAATAAGTCCTACTTATTCTGAAATCATACCAGGTACAAACGTAGCGCTTACAGACCAGAAATCTAACTTTAAAATAGACATCCGTCACAGAAAACATGGAAGAAAGAAACTGTTCGGTTGGTTTCAGTTACCTGTTGGCAGCCCTCGAGGAAGAGGATGARGAGTCCCCGTTTTCATGAAGAGCATCACCATTCTGCTGGACTTCTAGAGAAGGTTTRGAAATATTAAAACTTATAAGCTCAAAAGTACATTTAATAGATTATATAAAAAAGAGGGTTGAGTAGTATAACATAAAAAACAAAGTATGAGTTTCCTTCTAGCTTCACATTTACAAAAACAGCTGAAGTTCACGACACAAAACACTCATCCCCAGACAGTAACAACAYTGAACTCACTGGCGACGTTTGCTGCGTTGCCATTCGTCAGCGGTGCCAGTTCTTCCTGGTCAGTGACAGTCAGACCATCAAGGTACACGGTCAGCTCCCCTACAGGCACAGTGACCCCTTTCTGCTCCACATTCAGCTTCAGCACCTCTTTCACATTCTCCACTACACAGCAAAAACATAAGACGATGAGAACATGTTTCACACACTAAATGTAATTCTACTTAGCATCTCTCATTTACATTGGTTGCAGTTACAGTGATTTTGATAGCATTTGATGAAAAGATCTACATGTACGTATGCTCCTTTTCAGTCTGCACCGGGGAAGAGCTAATAACGAGCCGATCAGCTGCTGCATGAAGCTGTGAAACAGCTCCTCTGGTTCTGCTCCACAGACACCTCCTCATGCAGGACAGATTCACTCAAATCAGGACGGTTGAAAACATTTTTACAGACAGAAACGCATCTCGCTGACAGAGAACTTCAATCCTCGTCTATTTTACTTGTTAGCTATGTTAACTTTGTAAATCCTGCTGTCTATGAGCCCCAAMTAGGTGCTACTTCCACAGACGAGCTGGACAAGTAGAAGCCATGGCCATAATGGTAAAAACAATACTCCCCTCCCTCACTTCTACATGACTCTGACAAGCAAAGACCTTAATACTCCCCTCCCTCACTTCTACATGACTCTGACAAGCAAAGACCTTAAACAATATCTGACCTTGATATTTGACCTTCAGCTTGAAGTTGGGATGGTGGAAATTAGGACTGCCACGATTAGTCGACTAGTCACGATTATGTCAACTACTGAAATCGTCAACGGCTAATTTAATGGTCGATGCTTCATATTTTTTCTGACTTTGTATTTTTCTTTAATTAGTCAACTATAAAAATAATTATTTGTGGCAGCCCTAATTACCACTCTAATGCACATGTGTGTCAAGGACAGAAAGGCAGAAGCAGCACTGGAAGGCGATGCAGCAGTTTGGAGAGAAAAACAAAGTTAGAAAAAAAACCCGACGCATCAACTATTAAATGAGTTGACGATTTTAATAGATGACAATAAATCGTGACTAGTCGACTAATCGTGGCAGCCCTCGTGGAAAGTGTACATGACACTCTGTGTGGTGTTGGACATGTGGATGAAGTTTNCTAATTACCACTCTACTGCACATGTGTGTCAAGGACAGAAAGGCAGAAGCAGCACTGGAAGGCGATGCAGCAGTTTGGAGAGAAAAACAAAGTTAGAAAAAAAAAAAAAAAAACGACGCATCAACTATTAAATGAGTTGACGATTTTAACAGATGACAATAATCGTGACTAGTCGACTAATCGTGGCAGCCCTCGTGGAAAGTGTACATGACACTCTGTGTGGTGTTGGACATGTGGATGAAGTTTTGTTAAATTATCGTTAGAAGTTATGAGCAGGACAAGAGAAAGTTTATAGACGGACACTAAACCATTATATGTCTGCCTTTTACAGCAACATAATAATAATGTAAATTTAAACTAAACAAAATATCTGGGGGGGGGTCTGTTTGTAGAAAAACACTGTTTAAGCAAGAACATTCATTGAAGTTTGTGTTGCTTGTACTTTACAAACTAATTCAAAATTTAAGGAACAACAACCTGTTATTATTATTTAAAGCTTTGCATTGGGTACCTACAATCATATAAAAAAAGGGACTAAGGACCAGATTTTAACGTTTATTGTCTGCGATTCATTGATAGGCTGAAATGATTCCCTTCAAGAAACAGAATATCAAAATTACGATATTTAGTAACAGGTAGACAACTGTTGATTTCTCCTTTAAAGTAGATGGTATTGATATCTGTGAAGACTGAGGTGAAATTTCTAGGTGTCATCATTGATGACAAGCTGACATGGAGACCTCACATACGTTTAAGAACAAAAATATCTAAATCTATTGGAGTACTGTATAAAGTCAGGGAGTTATTCAATTATTAATTTTATTTTAATTTGTGTATTTTATTTGTTATTGTAAATTGTTCTTTTAATGAAATTGATAAATTTTTTGAACTGAAAATTGAATTGAATTTATTTATTCTCCCACTATTGTGAGCAGAGGGAGAGGGGTTGAGTGCTTTGCTCTCTATTATGTCTTACAGGTTTTCACACAAACAGACAAATGATGTTAAAGTTACACGAGAGTGCCTTAGAAACAATTGTTTTACTAAACAGTGTACTGGGACATATATGAATATGAACCAGAGAGATGAACACAACAACAGGAGTAAACTTGTTTTTCTCCTAACCTGACCTCACTTAAACCGCGCTTCATTTTTATTCACAACACCGCGGAGCTGCTGATCAGTGCCAACAAGAACCAGCCTGGTCTCTCTGTCACAAAGTACTCGTGTTCCTGATACAGGTATGTGGAGCCAGGTAGTGAGAGGCACCATGTCTGTATGAAACACAGAAAAACTAAAACCTACTGAAGTGATTATGAAGAGATTGATTCAGTGAGATTTTGTACAGAAAGGAGGAACATGAACATTTTCCATTCCAGAAATCATACAGTATTGTGGTCTTAAATTCATTCTGAAMCACTTCCTGCCATGTCTGAGCATCATCCAAGGATTTTGGTGTACATGTGCATGAAAATTTGCTGCAAACTCAGATATATGTTTTAAAGATTTTGTGAAATTTCACAAAACACCCACAATCCTGCAAATGTACCTGTTAACCTGTGCTACAAAATGAGAAAGAGACCAGCTGATGCTGCCTGGTTGATTTCGCTCGATTAAAGTGAAATTTCATGACACTGCTTCACAGTAATATTTGTTAATAATGAAAGTCACAACAGCTTATTTATTTCATAATGTCCTGTTTGCTTTGGCGTGTCTTAATCATACATTTTCTGTCATGCCGCTCCAAAGCTTGACTCAGGTCCAGCGTGGTTTTTCCCAGCAGACCGTCTGCTTTCAGGGTGTGGTGACTCCATACTTTGAAATCCACCTGAGTGCGGGGTGTTACAGACCTACAACATCAGGAGCACACAGAAAAAAATACCACAAGAACTGATAAAAACAGCTGATAGTACACGGGCTGCTGCAATAATCTTTTTCTCTATAATGTAAAAATAAAATAGGAGTTTATTACTCTTGTATACAGGAGATTATTAGATTTTAGGGGCTCTTTTTTACATTAACATTTTCAATATAATAATTGATAAATTTCATAAGCAAACTGTCTTTTAAAGATAGCATTTCGAAGTAGGATTTTGTGGAACAATTATGAACAGTTAATATCTTACCTGCTACAGATAGCTTCAGTTTAGAGCAGGGGTGGGCAATCCTGGTCCTCGAGGGCCGCAGTCCTGCATGCTTTTTCTTTGTTCCAACACACCTGATTTGAATGAATGAGTGTTTATCAGGCTTCTGCAGAAGTTGGAAGAGGTCATTCAGTGACTGAATCAGGCGTGCTGGAACAGGGAAAAAGTGTAAAACATGCAGGGCTGCGGCCCCCGAGGACCAGGATTGCCCACCCCTGGTTTAGATAAACAGTTCAGGTCTGATGGGTCTGGAGAGCTAATGGCTGCTCCTAAAACTGCAGTTTGCTTAAAACAACTCCAACCTCTAAAATGTCATAGCAGCTCATGCTGACTCTACTTTATTGACCTTTACAGCAGTGTTTCCAAAGCTGGAGTCGGGACTCTATTGTGGACCATGAAACACCAACTGAGGGGTCTTGCAAAGGTCTACAGAAATCAAATTAACTTAAAAAAAACTTGCCAGTAGCATGTTTAGTTTTAACTATTACAAAGAAAAGAAAACATTGGTAACAAGCTATTGATAGGTATRAATTTTTCAAAATGGCCTCTTTACTTTAGGACAAATGACTAAAAAAAGATGAGGGAGAAATGAAAAGACATGCTATCACGTTAGAAATTAACATCTAAACTCATTGTGAACTATGTTTTCCTTTCAGAGTGAGATTCAGCATGCATAAAGAACTTCTTATACTGCAGATTCCAGTTTTTATATTTACTCCATCATCTTCTCTCAGTGAAAAAAGATCTCAGAAATACAACACATTTCAGAAAAGGCCCCCTTGGACAAAATGAACACAGCACAGTGCATTCATTGTCTGAAGGGCCGAGCAGATCAGTCCAAAGACAAACATCTAAAGTTTCAGCCTGAAAGTCATGAGGAGRATCAGCAGCAGCTTGCATAACTTCTGTGGTCCAAACATGATTACAAATACAGCAGCACTCTGTCTTGTCTGCTATAACTACCCAGTCAAAACAATTATCATTTGCAATGACTCGTTTCTGGCATTTGGTTGAGCAGTTTGCCAGAGAGATGCAATGTTGAGGCTGCTGGCTTCGCTTGTGAGATGATACAAAGAGCTCTGCGTCACAAAGCTTTTCCAGCCACCTCAGGGTTCGTTATAATTATACTTAGAACTTTAAGTATTTTCAACAACCTGATTTTGATTGCATATGGTGCACAAAAAATGCGCAGCAGCAAAGAAACAGAAAACATCTGTTGCACTGAGCCATTTTAGAAAACACTTTTAGAACCACAACATGACATTAAGAAGTATCAAATGAAGGCAGAGAAAGAACATGCAAACATAAACACATTAATGCTTCTTACAGAGTGAACCTTTCATCCCATTTAGGGCTTGAGGAGCTGTGAGATTTTGCCGTGCGGCAGCTCTCCCCCTCCGCTGTCACCTCCACATAAAYGGCAGCCCCGAAAACGCTCCTCTTCCTCTTAAGTTTGGCACAGGAAACTGGTGAGAGAGTACACAAAGGAAGAAGTAAGACTTACAAAAATGTTGGCTTTCTAAATCTGTGCCTCCTGTCGTGACTCACCAAGGGCATAGAGCGTGCGTCTGTGGTTTTGGCTCGTCTCTGCTCTGGATGAGGCCGTGGCCATGTCATAAACCACAGTGGGAAGCCTGGAAAACACACAACAAACAAAATATAACCCCTCAAAAAACTGCTAATAAAAAAACAGCTGTAACTTTCAGAAGAATAAAGCAGACAAATCCACAAAGCAGCGTTTTCTCTAGGTTTGGTCAGGAGGTTTGTGACTCACTGCAAAGTATGAAATCAAACACAAGATTATAATAAATTACTACAGTTTGAAAGAGTTTATTCCAAAATGTTTTTTTTTAGATATGCAATTCTGAAATGTGGGTCCACACGATATGGAAACAAAACACTCGAATGAATCCAACAAAAACCATGTGGAAGCCTGAGTCTCGTGACCCATGGTGCATTTGGCTGGCTGTAGTCTGTGTGGAATTGGACAAGTGAGATGACATGATYTAAGTTGAGGTACATTAAACCACCACAAAGTCACAGTTCAGACTCTGTAGCCTCAGTCATTTGCTCATTTTTTTTCTTTGAACCTAACTAATAATTGTTCATTGAACTCTTCACAATTTTGCAGAAACWGCTGTAATTTCTTCATGGCAATTAGGCTTGGGTATGAAGGTATTTTGTTATACTGTGGTATGAAAATGATCAATACCGCCCAACCTTAATGGCAATAATGACAATGAAACTGAAACACCTGGTTTTAGACCACAATAATTTATTAGTATGGTRTAGGGCCTCCTTGTGCGGCCAATACAGCATCAATTCATCTTGGGAATAACTAACAATATCTGCACAGTGGTCAGAGGGATTTTAAGCCATTCTTCAATAATATTTAGATGTGGTGACTGTGCAGGTCATGGGAGATGTTCAACTTCACTTTCATGTTCATCAAACCAATCTTTCACCAGTCTTGCTTTGTGTATTGGTGCATTGTCATCCTGATAGATGGCACCGCCTTCAGGATACAATGTTTGAACCACTGGATGCACATGGTCCTCCAGAATGGTTTGGTAGTCCTTGGCAGTGACGCGTCCATCTAGCACAAGTATTGGGCCAAGGGAATGCCATGATATACCATCACTGATCCACCCCCATGCTTCACTCTGGGCATGCAACAGTCTCAGTGGTATGCTTCTTTGGGGCTTCTCCACACTGTAACCCTCCTGGATGTGGGGAAAACAATAAAGGTGGACTCATCAGAGAACAATACATGTTTCACATTGTCCACAGCCCAAGATTTGCACTCCTTGCACCATTGAAACTGACGTTTGGCACGAGTGACCAAACGTTTGGCTATAGTAGCCCGGCCGTGTATACTGAATCTGTGGAGCTCCTGACGGACAGTTCTGGTGGAAACAGGAGAGTTGAGATGCACATTTAATTCTGCAATGATTTGGGCAGCCGTGGTTTTATGTTTTTGGATACAATCTGGGTTAGGACCTGAACATCCCTTTCAAACAGCTTCCTCTTGCGTCCACAGTTAATCCTGTTGGATGTGGTTCGTCCTTCTTGGTGGTATGCTGACATTACCCTGGATACCATGGCTCTTGATACATCACAAAGACTTACTGTCTTGGTCACAGATGTGCCAGCAAGACGTGCACCAACAATTTGTCCTCTTTTGAACTCTGGTATGTCCCCCATAGTGTTGTGTGCATTGCAATATTTTGAGCAAAACTGAGCTCTTACCCTGCTAATTGAATCTTCACACTCTGCTTTTACTGGGGCAATGTGCAATTAATGGGGATTGGCCACCAGGTTGGTTCAATTTAGCCATGAAACCTCCAACACTAAAATGACAGGTGTTTCAGTTTCATTGTCCAACCCCTGTATGTTTTTTTTTTTTTTACCTCAGGAGTTGTAAATCCTCTACTTTGCTATGCAGTCATTATCTTCATCATACTGCACAGCTAATTCATCATGCTGAACTCAGCTTCTAGCTCTTCACAGTGGTCTGCATCACAGAGCTATCTGGCAAAGCAAAAAGCGGGCACACATTCGGACCTGATCTTCTGCATGGAGCAAACAAATCCGGACTCCTTAGTTACGGTCCTCAACAATTTGTTTAACTGTACTTTAAAATGTTTGTGTAGCACCAGAACATTAAAGCAAATTCCTTGAATGTGTAATTGTACTTATTAATAAACAGTTTTTTGAATYGATTTCCTCAAGGCTCTGGATGTTGTGGGGCTGTMCTGGTTGACACGCATTTGCAACATTACATGGACATCGKGGGCAGTGCCACTGGATTGGCAGACTGGGGTGGTGGTTGCTCTCTTTAAAAAAGGGGACCGGAGGGTGCGCTCCAATTACAGGGGCATCACTCTCYTTAGCCTCCCCGGTAAGATCTTTTCAGGGGTGCTGGAGAAGAGAGTTYGATCGATAGTCAAACCTCAGATTCTAGAGGAACAATGCAGGTTCAGTCCTGGCTGTGAAACACTGGATCAACTCTTAACCCTCACTAGGATCCTYGAGGAGTCATGGGAGTTTGCTAATCCAGTCTGCATGTGTTTTGTGGACTTGGAGAAGGCATTTGACCGTGTTCCTCGAGGTACACTGTGGGGGGCGCTACGCGAGTATGGGATTGTGGGTACATTGTTATGGGCCATTCAGTCTCTTTACAAGCAGTGCCAGAGTTTGGTTTGCATTGCCGGTAGTGAGTCGGAYTCYTTCAGAGTGAGAGTTTCACTCTGCCAAGGCTGCCCATTGTCACCGCTTCTGTTCATWACTTATATGGACAGAATTTCTCGGTGCAGCCAGGRGTCGGAGGGAGTCCGGTTCGGTGGCCTCAGGATTTCATCTCTGCTGTTTGCAGATGATGTGTTTCTGTTAGCGTTATCGCRCTAGGATCTTCAGCTCTCACTGGAGYGGTTCACTGCTGAGTGTGACGCGGCTKGGATGAGGATCAGCACCTCCAAATCTGAGTCCATGGTCCTCAGTCAGAAAAGGATGGATTGCTCTCCCCGGGTTGGGGTGGAGTTCTGCCTCAAGTGGAAGAGTTCAAGTATCTTGGGGTCTTGTTCACGAGTGAGGGAAGAATGGAGCGTGAGATTGATAGACGGATCGGTGCAGCTTCTGCAGTTTTGCGGACTCTGTACCGGTCCTTTGTGGTGAAGAGAGAGCTGAACTGTAAGGCAAAGCTCTCTGTTTATCGATCAGTCTATGTTCCTACTACCCTCACCTATGGTCACGAACTTTGGGTAGTGACCAAAAGAACAAGATCACAGATACAAGCGGTCGGAATGAGTTTTCTCCGCAGGGTAGCTCTCCTTTAGAGATAGGGTAAGTAGTTCAGTTATCCGGGAGAGACTCAGAGTAGAGCCGCTTCTCCTCCACATCGAGAGGAGCCAGTTGAGGTGGTTTGGGCATCTAGTAAGGACGCCTCCTGGACGCCTCCCTAGGGAGGTGTTTCAGGTATGTCCAACTGGGAGGAGACCCCGAGGAAGACCCAGGACATGCTGGAGAGACTATGTCTTTCAGCTGGCCTGGGAACGCCTTGGAGTCCTCCCAGAAGAGCTGGAAGAGATGGCTGGAGAAAAGAGAGGTCTGGGCTTCCCTGCTCAAGCTGCTGCCCCCGCGACCCGACTTTGGATAAAGCAGAAGATAATGAATGAATGAATGGATGGATGGATGGATGGATGGATGGATGGATGGAAGGACATGAGGGCGATTTTTCCCTCATGGCATCTTGTGTGTGCTGAAGCTGAGGGGTGTTTTCTATGTTTTTTGTCACTCCTGGTTTGCCGTATGTATCAATCCGATTGATGTTCAGTGCTAACGTTAGCTTCTGACAACAAGTTGTCTAGGGCAAAACAAAAGGAACATTAACATTACCAGCTGATTCTCTGCAGGACTTAAAGATAACAGAAACCATTGCAACTTTAGTTTGCAAAGGTTTGTGCTCGTACACGGTAGCAGAGAACGAAGGCTTTGAGCGACTCATTAGGTGCTCAAACCAAACCACTGACTGAAACTCTGCAGATTTTGTTTCCTACTCACTTTGTTTCCCAGAAACAGTCATACCTCATAAAGTACTTCTAGTGRTTGCTTTCAGTACATAAAGTTTCAACACTAAGTGTGTAATGCAACATTGTCATTAATGACTGTTTAGATAGCAATTTTAAACAATTAAGAATATTTTTTTCTACTTACCACAAATGTGTATTGCTTGGCCCTCTGCTTCAGCCCACTCCGTGTCCCATGGCTGCACTGAAACAAAAAAGAAAAAAAAGCACACTGAGTTTCCTCAGAAATTTAATAACTTTGAAGCAGAGAAAATTAGGTTTTAACTTCTTGGTGAGCTGTTTGATGTGAAAATACTGATCCAGCTCTTACACACGAACTTGCAGCAAAAAAAATCCTCTGGCTTGAGCACAGTGGAGGAACAGTAAATGACCTGAGTGAAGTTGAACCCACACACCTTTTTCAAATCTGACAAAATCGGTGTCAAACCTTCGTTTTGTTTGTGCTGCTATCATTTTTAGATATTTAAATGTTTCCAGGGATCATCAGGTCAACCAGCCATTTACAAAATCAAACAAAAGTAACAAAGTAGGGCTGGATAATATTAGGGGTGTAAGAAAATACCGATACACTGAAATATCACAATATTTCATTTCCCTATACTGTATCGATA